TTCCCATAGAAGAAAAGGCTGTGGACGTGTGAAACTGAGTCATTGGGCAATGTGGATTGATACACTCAGTACAGGACAGAAAACCTATGTAACATAAGAGGTTCTTAAAGGCTCTGTTGAGTTAGAAAAATGGCTAAAGTTGGCAAGAGGGAAGCCCAAGTTTGCTTACCCTTAGTGCTTACTGTTCTTTTAGGTTTTAAAGAGGAAAAAATCTTGACCAAATACGGTACTGAAGTGTTCTTCTCTTTGTGAAATAATTTTATCACCACATTAAATCAGAAACGCATAAAACCTTCAGAATTTTTCTTTTTCTGTTATAGGCTGTTTTTGAAATGCATTTTGCAAATATCAAAAGCGAGCTTCTTGAGAATAGGACTGTATGTTACAGCAATACAGAGAATATGAAAAGCTTTGGTAGAGAAAGCAGTAGTAACTCTTCCTCTGAAGATAACGCTTCTAATGATTCTGAAGATGAACATGCTCAACGTATTGCAAAGCTTCAGGAGCAGGTATTTGACTTTATCTATTTTTCTTTCTGTGAACTTCTACTGCTAGGTTAATTATAAAATCTTTTGGGGAGCTCTGGTGGCCTAGTGGCAAGAAGCTGCACTACAATCTCAGAGGCTCATGGTTCAAATCCATCAGATGCTCTGCCGGGGAAGGAGGGACAATCTTCTTCTGTACCAGTCAGATCTGATTTGACGGTACACACATAAATAATGAAATAAAAAAAATTTAAAAAAATCTTTTGTGTAGATGAAAAAGCACTTATTTAGACCACTTAGCCTTATTAATTATGGCTTTATTTATTTATTGACACATTCATAATGTTTAATAGTCTTTTGTACACAAAAACCACTGTATCTTAAAGTTCTGTTATTTGTATCAATAACTACAAGAAGGGAGCTCTGTTGGTATAGTCCATCAGATCAATTCTGAATAATAATTGCTTATTGAAAACATGAAGCTAACAAGAAATGTATTCTTGTGCTATTACAGATTGATCGGCAAGTCTGTGGTTTGAGCACAAGATAATGTGTATAGGTTAATGTATGCCGCTCAAAACAATGAATTTGTGAAATAAAGTAGAAATTGGAAGGGAATCTAATTTGAATTTCACAAAGGATACTCTTATTTTGTGATTGCCTTAATTTTTCTCTAGTGTCTTTAATTATTTAGAGTCATAAGTACTTAAAGACTTTTATTCCTTTATAAACTTAAAACAGTTCATCAACAATTGCAGGTTCTGTCCAAACCACCCCTCCATAAGGCGGAGAAGAAGGAGAAGGAGACATCCAAAATGGAAAACAAAAAAGAAAAGTGTAATGACATTGAAGAAAATCCAAGGAAAAAGATTAAGCAAATGAATACATTTAAACAAAGTAATCTAAAGTCCAGAAATAACAGGTAAGTTTCTTTTTCTACAGATTTTTTAGATAA